AAAAATCTTCGGGGGGAACGCAATGAATGTTTTCATGGGGAGGCTCCGCCCCGAGGTCCAACCCCTTACACTTTTATAAACCATTTTTCATGAAAAAGGTACCACTTTCGTATACCTTCTATTGACAAATGGTACCCCTTTCACATATCTTGTTTAGAACGTTGGATCCCTTTTAACTGCTGTAAATGCACTTTCTTTTAAATGGGAATCGATCACAAAAGTAGAACGACTTTTTAAAGCCATAAAATTTATCTGTTAGCCATTTTGGGCCCTTTTACAGACCCAAATGACAGATTTTTTCCGAACCCTTTTACGTATTTCAACTAGTAAAACCCCTACCCTTTCATATACCTGAAACCTGTAAAAGGTCCCCCTTCCGAGCAAAGCCTCACCGTATAATCCATCAATATTGTCTTTCCACTACATCAGCTTAATATCAAGATCAGTCACCTCTGTTGATTTTGGAAAACATATTTTAAATTAAGTACACATTGAGTGACATTGAATTCATAACATCATATTTTTCTTAAAATACCTCCAGTTGAATTATTGAAACCTACCTAAACATAACTTAAACTTCCTAAAAAAGCAAGTAATAAAAATTAATAAATTCATATTAGACATGCAATAAATACAAATGATAACTTAGTAAACTTCTACTCTCCATTTGGATGGTTGTTCACATTTTCCAAGTTCCTTATCACCACAGAGACAATTAAAGGTTTGGTCACCATGGAAACCTAATATGTCTCTTTCTTCGTGAATACGAAAAGAAAATGTTGACTCGCGCGTCCCGACAAAATACTTTGCATGAGCACAAATCCACTGATCAATGATAGCTACCCCTCCATCACCATATTTTTGTAAAATCTTTTTTGGAGCATCATACTTAACCAAAGGAAGTTTGTTCTTCAAATAATCTATTTCTGAAATTAATGGGAAAAGAAATCATAAAACAATATAGTACTGTTATAAGTAGACTGATGGAACTGGATTAAATCTTGAACATTTATTGCTACTCAGAGTTACATGCCTCTTGTGAGGCAATCATCAGGCATACGTTCATTATACATTCGGAATCGTTCATGATTCACATCTGTTGGACATTAGTTAAAGAACAAACAAATGAAAAGAACATGTTGAGAAAAGTTAGTCTGAATAAAACTAATTTGCGGAGTTGACAGTAGTGTCAATATCGGTGTAACTACAAAACTGTAAAGAAACTTAGTTATTAAATGATGAATATATTAATTTCATATATTTCAAATGTGGGATAAAGAAATAAACGCAGAGAAGATCATCACAGTTAAATACGCAGCTTATGCAGTTGCGAAAAGAAAGCCTTAATTTTCGTAATGCCAGTGCAGCCCTCTCACCAATATTGAGCTAGCAAGCCAACTGGGGGCTGGTCAATAAAAGAAAAAAGAGAGCCTGAAAAAAATTCAAGCTTGCTGGTATTCAAACCCTGACCTGCTCTGCGATACTGGTCCAGTACCCTTACCAACTCAACCAGCAAGCCAACTGGGACCAGCTCCAAACACCAAAACACTTTTTTTTAAAACTTTTTTGCCATCCTTTGACTGAAGTGTTAATTTGTATGCAATCCTCAACAGCTCTTTGTAAGACTATTTACTGGTAACTGAGATATATCATCAATGGTATCAAATTTCAAGGTCTTTGACAGTGTTTAGCTTGTTGCTGGTTCTCGAACCTATGATGGGTGTTTCCCTAGGTTCTGGGAACAGTTCCATATCTATTCAAACAAGGCTGTCACTGACGGTTGGGGGTCAGGATTTCCCCAGCTTCTGTGAGCATAACCCAAAGGTATTTCCACTGGAAACAAAAGGAAAATATAACCAAAAGAAATTCCACTTCTGTTCAATTTCCTGCCTAGCCCACTAAATTCATATATCCAGTAGCCTGAGAAAACAGCCAACATTTTGCGACACCACCACCGGTTTCCCTGAAAAATGACGTCTACAGAACGACCACAGTAATTCCGTAGTGATGACGATCTGGGTAGTACTTCTGATTGGTCATGCTGCATGGGAAATTTGCATCAGCCAATCAGAAGCACTACCAACATTTAGGTAGAAACACATCATCAGTATGGAATTTCAGCTGACTCATTTCTCAGATGTCATTTCACGGGACAACCAGTGGTGGCATCACAAGATGTCGGCTGTTTTCTCAGGCTATATACGTAGCAACTTAAAAACATAGCAACAGCCTTGAAAAAGTAAAAGTATTAAATTTTTAAACAAATTTTGCATCTCACCTTCTTTATCAGCATCAGTAGCAAGAAACACCATGTCAAGCTTTTGTTTATCTAGAATCTCCTTGATCTGTTTGATAGCGTTATCTAATGATGGTACACCATCAGGATGTGCATAAAGAAAATCAGTTCTTCTCAGGTGAACAGCCAGGTATGGGCCACCCGTAGCACTACCCTCCTTTTTGTGGTTTTTTGTCCAGTCTTCATACATGACAGTGCCATCTTTGTTGTCCTCTGATTTCAGTATCTCTTTACGGAATGTGTCTCCTTCTGCTGTCAGGTGCTTGGCAAATACTTGGCTTCTTCTTGCCTACGTTTAAGACAAGTACTGATAAGAGTCATTGTCAACTCAGCTCCCTTTCAACATTAGACATTAGAAAGCTTAAACAACAACCATGGCAACAGCAACAAAAACAAACAAAAAAGCGATAAGTTGAACACTATTTTTTGACTACACGTTTTGATACTGCAAAACAACATGAAATTTCCATATTTGATATAAGTTAATCTTATGGACGACATAACCAAATGCCAAGTAATTCTCTGTTATTAAACTTGGGTGTTGTCCCCAAGGATCTAAGTCCAGGAGATTTCACCTACATATGAAATTTTAAGCAAGTTAGAATGTAATCTAAATCACAAGTTTTGAAAAAGTGAAAACTGATTTTAAAAGTGATGTTTTTCCTGCAATCGCTGTCATCATTGCTAAGGCTGCCTATTATCAGAGCTAAAGACAATATGGATCGAAATCAACCAAATTATTACAACCTGCAAACATGACCTTTTGAACCCACTGAAGAAAGCCTTCGTTTCCTAAGAGGTCTGTTAGAATGATTGACAGAGGTGAAAATTGTAAACATCACTTATATTTTTGACTTTAGGTAATATGTTACTTCAATGTGTGGCAATGTTTGCCACGAAATTGCTAGCAGACGACAAAATAACATCTTCTGTCAAAAATATATTTCCTGGGCATGGTATATAAAGTTTCAGATAAAAATATTTTAATGCTATTTTGGAACAATTTATTATCAATATTTAAATTTTGAGCTTCTAGTAACTTGTTTCTCTTATGAGCTTGTGATTGGCCCACAACCAACTTTCTTGGAATGTATTGTTACTCATGTGTAATACAATAACCAATTATTGGTTAACTTTTCCTAGGTAGCCCGTGTTACAGAACTGTAGTCCCTCTGTAAGTCTATCGGTTGCTCAGTTTTTGCTCTTGAAATCTACAGCATTTTGGTGTTCTAAACCCATTCACTCCTGGAAATTTTGTCCAAATTGCCCCTTGAAGCTTATAGTCAAACTGTATTCTGGTCACTGTCTGGCTATAATGTGCCAAACTGCCCAAATCACTTGATGTTAGCTTCATTGTTTGAAGACATATTAAATCTTCCAATATTCCACCTGACCATAATGGTTGTGTAAAACCTGTTCAAATCTGTCAGTCATTACTGATCTGAAATAATGGAAAAAAATGAGCCACAGTACCTCCCAGAAATCCTTCTGTCCATACACAATGTGCGACACTTCATCAAATCTGTCTACAAACACTGATCTGGAAAGATGAAAAAAATGAAGTTAAATAATAATAATAATAATTTATGAACTTGTTGTGCGCAGCTTAACATGACGATGATCAGCTGCGCATTACAACTGCATTACTTTAAAAGAAACAAATAAAACATAATGCATTTAAAAATAAAAAGTAAAAAATAAAAATAATATATGTGTGCAAGCAAGAACTGAATATAAAATTGCTCACCAATATAAAGTTTTAAAAAGCTAAGTCTTAATATGCGCCTTAAAACTGTTCATATTAGTAATCGCACGAAGTTCTTTTGGAAGAGAGTTCCAGAGCCTTGGCGCTGCTACCATAAAAGCCTATCATCTAACGTCTTCGATCGAACAGCTGGCATAGAAAGTAAAATACTATCTGAAGATCTAAGGTTATATAAGGACGATTTAAATGTAAGTAAATCGCATAGATATTTAGGAGCAAGGCCGTGAATTGCTTTGAACGTAATAAGCAGTATCTTAAATTCTATCCGGGCTTTAACAGGAAGCCAATGCAGACCACGAAGAAGGGGTGAGATGTGGCAAAACCTAGGGGCATTACAAACTAGCCTGGCTGAGGCATTCAAAACTCTCTGCAATTTGTTAAGCTGGTAGTTGGGCAGCCCATACAAAAGACTGTTACAATAATCAACACGAGATGTAATAAATGCATGGACAAGCATTTCCATTGATTCACGAGACAAATACTTGCGAATGCGTTTGATATTATGCAACTGGTAAAAGGCAACACCACATAGCTTGCTAATATTCGCCAATTGCTAATTCTCTGGAAAGAAGAGCTCCAAGAGAATTACTTCACATGGTGGTCTCTTTTTCATAGTCGACTAAAACATGACGGACATGCTTTGCAAGGTATTTTTTCCAAGACCAAAGCCTGAGCCAAAGGATGAGATTGTACTGTGTCTACCCTAGATGTTACATTATGAAGGACAAGAAATAAATAGAGTATTGAGTCAAATTTGCCATTCATAAAGAGCGATATCAGTTGCATCTACGCCAGTCAACAGAGTGAGTAGAAGCAACAGAACACAATTCAAACAAAATGGCGGGTAAGTGACAACATGAACAACAGCCCCAAAGAAGAATAAAGACAGAGTCTGCTTGCCAAGGTGCATAAAAAACACAGCAAATAATACTTAATGACACAATTGTCTCTATTTCTGTCCCTTTTACCCATCTCTTGGGAGGACTGAGTCTTGAGGGGGCATACTAATACTACAAAGTCCCCAAGGTATTGTGGAGATCAGCGATTTTGGTCCATCAAAAGATCCTTGACACTGATCTGAGAGATGAGATGATAGTCAGTTAGTGGAATCTGGGAACTGAGAACTGATCACGCTGTATCCACATCCCACAAGCTTACAATCCATAAGTGTGAATTCAGGGTTGTGGCTGCAACGGAAAGTACAACGGGGGAGATAGGCCCACCCTAGGGATCCTGTTGAAAGAGCTCACGTTCAAGTTCTGCAACTGGGTTCTTGTTTTGACTCTTGACTTTGCTGATTACGAGAACAATTCTTAGCTTGTGAAGAACTGAGCCACTGTCAGGGGTCATGAAACAAGGATCAGTGTCAGTTCATATTACAGTAAGAGGGCCATCCAGTGGTTGGATGCCAATGCACACGCTCATCAGTGTGTTGCGGAGAGTGTCATAGAGCGCGTTGGGCATTCAACAAGGTAAGTATAAACTTTCAAGCTCATTTAATGACTTTGGCAGTAAAAGAGATCACCCACAGTTTCAGGTTGGGGGTTGGGGGTCAGGGGACTGCTGCACCACTGACGTGAGGCCATGCAGGGTGAAGCAGAACGATGGCAGCTAGAAGTAATGCAATCAACGGCTTGTCCATGTCAAGGATGAAAAAGTTTTGATTGGGTTACCATCCTCAGTTGTCGAAGAACCACTTTGTGGATGTGCTACCTCCAAATCATTATTTATTATTTATATCTAGTTATATTTATGTGGCTAAGGTGGACATGCAAAAGACTGTCAAGGACTTGCACTTCTGCTGGGCAGGTACTAGGGGTTCGTTACATTTAACAATGAGTAAGGTGTTGGAAGCATATTGAAGTGAAATGAAGGTAACTTTAAACATCTTTAATGTTAGAATGTTAGTCAACTTCTAGGAAGAGCATGTGTAGGGCTGTGCTCTAGCAGAGCTCGGTGGCCCCTGGCGCCTAACGTTTGCCCTCGGGCGACTAGAAAATCTCAAATTTTTCATGCAAATCATATGCTGGGCACCCTAGATTCTAATGTTTCAGAGCACTGGGCTCCCTTCAATTTTCCTTAGAGCACAGCCTTGTTGTGCCTTGAGTAATGGGCATACGTGTGCTCTAGGTCTGGACACTCGGCTGGGAGGGCAAGCCAAGCAGCTCTTTCTAGTGAAATGAAGTTTAGCCTTTCCTAACAATATGCTTTGGACAGATGCACAGAGAACCACAGAATCCTTGATGTGTTGGACGAAGCTGCAAACTTGGTAAGTGGAGTTGTCGCACTTACGGGCATTGCCACTGGCAAAGTCAGATGGTAGGATAGTGGCTCCAGCAACATGATGAACAGAGGCTTGGCACTTACTGATGGTGGAAAGGAAGATGGCAACACGCGGGTTTGAGGGAAACTCACCACCACAAAGCTTTTCAAATGCCCACACACGTGCTTTACTGTTAGTGAAATGTAGGCTGGTGTTTTCAATTGTAAGAGCTGTAGTGTTTCATTGCAGCTGGGGTTGATAAGGCCTCTATCTCACAAGAGAGCCAGGTAGCTTGACAACTCCAAAGTTTGGTGCTGGAAAGGCTGGTTAACTGTAGCGTATTGTCACGTATCATATACATTGTGGTGGTGATACCTGGAGTTTTGACAGCTCCATTTGTGATGATCCACAATTGATTATCAAGGCAGGGGAGGGTGATGGAGCAGATGGGCTGACTGGGCATTGTGAAAGAGTAGATCATCAGACAAGTTGATCTTCTCATGAGACTTATAACCTGTGATGACAGTGTCAAGTGGTGCTTGCAAGGCTTGCTGCCAGCTAGCACTTTTTATGCACCAATGAAGGACTTTAGAGGGGCCTACAGTTTCAGGCTTGCTGCACAAAGCTAGAGCTGTAATTTGATGGAGGAAGGCTTGGAGTGTTCCATCCAAACATCATGGTAGATTTGGGGTTGATAAAAGTCTTGGAATGCAGAGAGTTTGAGGTTGCACTCGGAGAGGGCCTGAAACACTCATTTCAAGTTGTGCAGTAACTCCAGGCACCTTGCCAGCTAGCACTTTTTATGCACCAATGAAGGACTTTAGAGGGGCCTACAGTTTCAGGCTTGCTGCACAAAGCTAGAGCTGTAATTTGATGGAGGAAGGCTTGGAGTGTTCCAGCCAAACATCATGGTAGATTTGGGGTTGATAAAAGTCTTGGAATGCAGAGAGTTTGAGGTTGCACTCGGAGAGGGCCTGAAACACTCATTTCAAGTTGTGCAGTAACTCCAGGCACCGCAGTATTGATATGTTGCTAATCTTGGCAACAACTCTTTCATGGAATAAGATCTTCAAGTACAAGACACATGAGCTCTTCCAATGCAGTTTCTGAGCCCGGCATACCCATCACTGAATGGGTATTCAACTGGACCCCACAGAACAGTATTTCACCAACGTGGGTGCAAGAGGTATTTGATAAAAGGTAGTTGTAAGGTCAGTAGCAATTTGGCAAAGAGTGGTATCAATCCAGGTTGAGTTTGATCGGGTAAACGTAGTCCTGAATAGGACTGTTGTTGTTGACAGTGACTGACGTTTCGACAACCTGTGAAGTAGTCATCTTTAGAGTCAAAGTGAGTTGTATCATGTCAGTTGATGGTATTTTACTCTGGTTATTGATCTGATTGGTTAATTACGTCGCTATGTTATTAGTCGTCTGTCAGTTAAGCCGTGATGTTATTGGCTAGTCTTGATAGAAAAGAGGAAGTCTTGACCTTAGCAATACTTGACATTTTTCTCCCTTGCACGTTCTTTAGGATGGAATCACCAACCAAGAACACCGGTCTCTCTTTGCTTGCGTTGAGTACTTCGGCCAGCACCTGAGTTCCCTTTTGTTCGCCCTGTATTTAACTGGCATGATGACGACGTCTTGGATTGCGAATGTCTCCCGTCTAGCTTTGTCACTGTCGACGGCTGGTTTTGTTGGTCACCGGTCTTCTTCTTTTTTCCCACCAAAACAAAATCTTGAGCATCCTGGTACTCCGTGTCGACGCGGGAGTTGTCAGGTTGCATGGGAAATGAATTGTGATACAAATCTTTGGAGACAAATCTTTGGACAACGTGAGTATGAGGACTGGACATTCACAAGGAGTGAGATAGTGCCTACCTGTAAGGCCAAAAAAGTTGCTTTTTTGTGCTTTGAGAGAGAGAAGAGAATTCTTTTATCTCATAGCCTTCCAAGAAATTCAAGTCAACTTGTCAGTAAAAAGTAACATAAATCAAAACTAGCAATTGAGAAGTAAGAGACCATAATAATATGTTTTACAAGAAGGAATGGTAGAGTATTTTGTTATTTTTTTTTCGTTAAATCGGTTATTTCAGAGTTGTTATTTTTTCATTACCATACCGTTTCAGAATTTTTGTGGAATGCGGAAAGGCAGTCCAGGATCAGGAAATAGGTTGAAATACAGCATTGACCCAAGAATGATCTCATACTGAGTGAGCAATATAAAATTTCCATATTTGTGCAATAATTACGTTGAGTGATTCTTGGTAACTACGCATCGATCATTTTACGTCACCGAGCTTATCTGGTCGCTAGGTTCGCTGATCGGTCAGTTATAAGCTCGTTTCGTAGGGCAATCACGTTAATCGCCCACATCATGGCTCAAGCGGCTTCCTCCGGCGCAACAAAGCGCGCCACACGTAAAACCAAATCAACTCGTAACTTATACGACTTCGGTCTACCCCCAGCTCCATTTGCCTCAGCCATGGACCGAAGCCCGTCCCTGACAGGGGACACTAAAACGGTGGAGACACCTTTAATCGGCATCGAAGCGCTCACTTCACAGCAAAAGCCGTTACTTGACGATCAGGCCTCCACTCAGAATGATCAGTTAGCACAGAGGATCATCTTGGTGCAGGCAGAAAGAGAAAAATTGGCCCTCGAGTTGGAGCTTCTTCGTTTAAAGTACGCAAAGCCTCCTACATTAACGCTATCAACTACCGATACCGGAACATCTGCTGCTGCTGCTGCTGCTGTAACAAAGAAAACACGCCATGTAGACTGGCCCCAAGATTTTTCTCCAGGTATGTCTACGAACGTAGAATACGACAAACTCGATCTATCAGAATTTGTCACCAGGTACCTTTCGATGATCAAAACGTACGCTCCCGAGGCGACTAAGTTTATGCTTAGTCTCTTGGAACTCCTTATGATCAAAGGAACCAGCTATTCTTGGAGCAGTGTGCGTTCATTTCACGCTCATATCGCCAAACAAGTTGAACTCTATCGCTTAAAGTGGTCTGACACGGCAGAAATTCCCGATCGGGCAAACACCTTTTTCAAGCATTCTGATTTACGTACAGCGCCCAATTCTCGCGTGACGGCCACGCCCCCTTCGACCACACGCTCGAAACAGGATGGGGGGCAGGAAACCCTCGGTTGTAAGCAGTGGAATTACACCGGTTCTTGCACTTACGAAAAGGACCACGACACCTATGCCGCTCAACACAAGCGTCGTGTTTGCAGTTAGGACCACCCTATGCTCCACTGCCCTAAGAGACGAAACCCCCATTCCATCTACTTTTTGACAACCCACCTCCCCTCCCCAACTTTCTTCGCTCAATTCGACCTCGGCCTTGTCACCGGCGCACAAGTTTCAGGACACGTTATCACACACAGGAGCGTCGAGCCTCGTGTCATTGAACGATAATACTCAGAGTTCTAACGACTCCGCTGTTATCCGTCATATCCTTGCTTCCCGATCAGATAGCCCCAACGCATTTGGGTCAAAAATCCCGGTGTATACCGCATTGAAGATTAACAGGTGGGAAGATCTTTTGCTTGATTATCATGATAAGATCGTGGTGGACGTTTTGAAGTATTGTTGGCCGATTAATTATCGCGCCAGTCAATCGCCTCATTCCACAATGTGCAATCATCCTTCTGCCTTGGCTTTTCCTGATCACGTACGGCACTACATTCAGACCGAATTGTCTTTCGGAGCGATCGCCGCTCCTTTCTCGACAAACCCGCTACATAACCCTTCAGTTTGTTCTCCACTTCAAACGGTTCCAAAACGTGGTTCTTCCAAACGTCGAGTGGTCTTGGACTTAAGTTTTCCACCAACATTTTCTGTCAATAGTGGCATTCCATGGAACACCTACCTGGATTCACCATTCAAACTCCGACTACCGGGCATCGACCGTTTGTGCGAATTCATTTTGGCTAAAGGACGGGATTGTTGTGTTTACAAAAAAGACCGTCAACGCGTTTATCGCCAGTTTCCGATCGACCCTAAAGACTATTATCTGTTGGGCTTCACATTTTATTTTGACACGCGGTGTCCTTTTGGTTTACGGACCTCGGCCATGTTCTGTCAACGAACAACTATGTCCGTCATATATATTTTCAAGCAAGCCGGATTTTCCGCTGATATTTACCTAGATGATTTTTACGGCGCTGAATGTCCGTCGCTGGCTGACAATGCCTTTGCTACTCTGCAATCTATTCTCGATACCCTTGGCTTAGCCTCTTCGCCTGAAAAAGATTCACGCCGGCCTTTGAGATGGTTTGCTTGGGTATCCTCGTCAATACCAAGGATTTTACATAACGTGTTCCAGAGTCGCGGCTTCGTGAATTATCCGATGAGTTACATTTGTGGTTGTCACGCGAGCGCTTTATCGTCAAAGAACTGCAGTCTTTGCTCGGTGAACTTTCTTTCGTGACTTCTTGCGTCCACGCTAGTCGGATTTTTCTTTCTCGCCTCTTGAACGCTTTGCGTAGTTTCCCTTCCAACGCTAAATCTCAACTAGTCACGTTGGAAATGCGTCACGATTTGGCTTGGTGGCAAACTTTTCTTCCCATTTACAATGGTATTTCGGTTATCAAGCCTGCCGACTGGTCCTTCGCTGATTTTCGTTTCACCACAGACGCTTGTCTGACTCGCGGCGGAGCCACGTGCCTCGACAAATGCCTTACATTCCCCTTCCCGGATTTTGTCCTCGACGCCGCGTCTCACATCTCTGCTCTGGAACTCTTCACTGTTATTGTCGCGGTAAATTTCTGGGCCACAGCATTGCAACATCAGCGATTTCTCGTCTCCTGCGACAATGGGTTCTACAATGAGGCGGCGGTTATCGTGATCAATTCGGGCTCCACCAAGGATCCTTTCTTGCAGCGCTGTTTGCGCCAGTTGTGGTTCACTTCAGCGCTTCATGATGTTGACCTCCGCGTCTGGCATTTTTTTCGCTGAGCATAACACATTAGCCGATGCCTTGAGTCGTTGGGATAACACCTCCTCTCAAACTCAGTTTGCCCAAGCGACCACAGCTCTCGGGATCAGTTACGTTTTCGAAGAGATACCCGGAGACTTCTGTTATTTTGACGTTGACTGATATTTTTTCGCTTTTGTTATAGTGTTTTTTGGGTTTGTTTCCTCAATTCAATTATTCAGACATTTATGGTTTCTTTTTTTCAGGGATCTTTACCACTGTATCTTCATTAGATGCCTTTGCTCAGCGTTTAGTTCGTTTGGCTTTCGCCCCATCGACTCATAAGAATATAAGGTCTCACGTTAACGTTTACACTAGGTTTTGTCATTCCGTCCGTGCCTCTCCGTTCCCTGTTCAGATCGATTTGCTTATTCGTTACTTTGCTTATCTCACCCTTTCGGGTCGAAAGGACGCCACTATCATCAATCATATCGGCAGTCTTAAACATGTAAATCAGCTGTTAGGTTTTGGAAAGATCTGGGAGACAAATTATCGTTTTCAGTTAGTTGTAAGAGGTGTTAAGCGCTATCTCGGAGTATCCCCGAACAGCAAACATCCTATTACTCCTGAAATTTTGCTGCAGCTGTACTCGCATTTCACATTTCGCATTTCATTCNTGCAGCGCTGTTTGCGCCAGTTGTGGTTCACTTCAGCGCTTCATGATGTTGACCTCCGCGTCTGGCATTTTTTTCGCTGAGCATAACACATTAGCCGATGCCTTGAGTCGTTGGGATAACACCTCCTCTCAAACTCAGTTTGCCCAAGCGACCACAGCTCTCGGGATCAGTTACGTTTTCGAAGAGATACCCGGAGACTTCTGTTATTTTGACGTTGACTGATATTTTTTCGCTTTTGTTATAGTGTTTTTTGGGTTTGTTTCCTCAATTCAATTATTCAGACATTTATGGTTTCTTTTTTTCAGGGATCTTTACCACTGTATCTTCATTAGATGCCTTTGCTCAGCGTTTAGTTCGTTTGGCTTTCGCCCCATCGACTCATAAGAATATAAGGTCTCACGTTAACGTTTACACTAGGTTTTGTCATTCCGTCCGTGCCTCTCCGTTCCCTGTTCAGATGGATTTGCTTATTCGTTACTTTGCTTATCTCACCCTTTCGGGTCGAAAGGACGCCACTATCATCAATCATATCGGCAGTCTTAAACATGTAAATCAGCTGTTAGGTTTTGGAAAGATCTGGGAGACAAATTATCGTTTTCAGTTAGTTGTAAGAGGTGTTAAGCGCTATCTCGGAGTATCCCCGAACAGCAAACATCCTATTACTCCTGAAATTTTGCTGCAGCTGTACTCGCATTTCACATTTCGCATTTCATTCCACATTTCATTTCGCATTTCACTTTAGCTATACCTTTACATGCAGCCATGTGGGCTTGGTTTCTCGTCGCCTTCTTTACCTTTTTACCGAAATCCAATTTAGTCTCCGACGTAGCAGATCGCATCTCAACTAAAGTTCCTTTGCGGGCTGATTTAGAGTTTTCCTCTCAGGGGGCATCGCTACATATTAAAGCGTCTAAGACTATTTAGTATCAACAGCGTTCTTTGTCAATTCCCTTGCCGTACATCCCAGGTTCCCCGCTTTGTCCAGTCAGGGCTTTAAGGCGTCATTTACGCCTTAACGCATGCGCCGCTTTTCTCGGTTTTTTCTCCCACGTCTCACAGTTTATTGCCCATCACGTATCGCCATTGTGCCTAGTGCTCGTAGAGCCCAAGGCACCATGTTATCGTGCACACGTGTGTGTCCGTAACTGGGGGTTTTTCTCGTATTCTTTCGCCAACAACCGGAGACCACTTTCGAGCAATGTTCGTTTGATTTTCGTATCCCGAGAAGACATAAATAAATAAATAAATAAATTGGTTTGGGCTACCTTTTGCAGAGAGAACTGAATTACAGGTAGGGTCAGAAATAACGGGAATCTAAGATAATAAATAATACAAAATAAGTATGTAAGGCGCTTAGGAATCTAAATAGGCGGCATATTTGCACGTTACAAACTGTGCAAAACGGTCGGTGTTGGTTTGTTTGGTTACAATGTTGGTATTCCTTCCTCCTACATGACTTAGATGGCAACTTTTTGCTACGATCGCTCTATGTGCTCACATTGCGCGTTTGTTCAACGACGTTGGTAAGTTTTCTATGCTTAAGATAAATTTAACTTACTTTCCTTCTAGAGCCAGGCTCAACTTTCGGTGGATTTTCAAAGAATTTGATCTTAAAAGCAACATGAAGGGATTTTTCGAGAATTTTCCTGCTTTATCAGTAAAGAAACTGAAGAAAGTGTTGATGATTCTACCCTCGATCAGTGGCCGTGGACGAGCGTTTCCTGCCGAATCTTGTAGTTATATGCCTTGTTTAGCGATCAGTAACTTCTACAGAAGATGGAATTTCCATAATAATTTTCAGGCGAACCGCACCGGGCCATATTTGTTCTTTGTTTTTGTCTTTTTCTAAATCCGAACGCCGAAATAATGCTAAATCTGCTTTCAATACACTGCTAACAATAACAACACATAATACGCAAAAAAGAAGAAGAAGTAAAGAAAGAACAACGTATGGACCTTTAAGACGATAGTCGCGGTTGGTCACCCATCCAGTTCTTAACCCAGACCGACAGGGCTTAACTTGAGTGCCGTTACCAAACCGAGTTTCGCGAGGGTTATTGCGAGATATGTATTTCTAGTCATCATCAGAAATTATTTGGGCTAGGAGACAAAGGTGATATTTTATTCAATTATGAATTGTTATAGTTGATACTTATTTCACAATAAAGTTTTTGTTGTTGTTGTTGTATCATGTAGTCATTGCAGATGATACTATTTTTTATATCACTAGGCCCATGTAGTCATAGACTGCCTATTTTTCCCAGTTTCTTTCGCGGGTCATTCAAGCGATCGGCTTAGTTCCGGCCCATTACTCTTCCCATAGTTTTCGTCGCGGCGGCGCGAGTTTCGCCTTTCGGTGTAATGTTCCGGCGGAACTTATTCAGCGGTAAGGTGATTGGCAAAGTGATGCCTATCAAGTTTATCTCGAAATGTCCTCCGCTCAAAAGAGACAAGCAGTAAATTCCATGGCCGCCCAGATTCTTCTTTTGTCTCGTAGTTCTCACTAGCATGTCCTTTTTTTTATTGCTATATCTATATTCCTACATATACTATCTTTGTAGCTCTATAATTAATATCTCTTTTTTCTCACGTTCACGTCTCTTCTCTTATACCACCCGACTTCGGTTTGGGCGTTTTTTTGTTTGGCGAGTCTATTGATTCATTCACGACCTTTCGCGTTAGTCAGTGCATAGCGGTCGATTCTGACTCAATAAATTGTTGGGCCAAACCTCTTGTCGTGTGGTTATTGAGAGGCGTGATTCAACAATCTTATTTCTAGATTTATTTCTACCACAATAATTTTAGATCTTGTCTTTTTCATCCTGAGACCAGTCTGCCTTCTAGCCATACATGAATGGTATTATCCTGGATTTCGGCCTTAGCTACATGGGCTTTTTATTCCATTTAGAGACAATAGTCCATGAAAGTTGGTGGTGCTTTATGGCAGCTATGACAAAACACCAGCAATGGCACTATGGATTACACGTGGAAGATGAATCAATTTCAAGTGCTATTGATGCTCATAAATAACATTACAAACTAATTCAATTCAAGGTTACCTAAAGCAAGCGATGAATTTAAATAGATGGTATTATAAAATAAAATAAAACAGAGCTTACCTGGATTTGGTTTTCTCCAGTAAAGACACTAAAATAGCTGAAGTGCCTTGCACAGATACACATTTAAATTTACGCGCGAATACATTGTCCATTCCCCAAAAATATCCTCGATAAAAACCGTCTTGATCTTTGTAGTAAACAGGTCTGTCTATACAATCACGATCATCGACTTTTTCTTCCCAATGCCCATCCTCCCAGCCTTCTGCGTATTCCTGTAAATAGAGAATTTCATCTATACCCGATTCGCCAGTTTCTTTCACAAAGTCTTCGAATTCAATGACAGGAACATATCTGTTTAAGCTCTCGAGATCGAAGAATGTTCGCCATGGAAGAGCATTCTGCTCGATCGGTAATCGCCAGTGATCTAACTTTCTCCAAGGTGGAACTACAAGCACCCAGTTTTGTTTTTCTCGAAGAAGTTTCATCATATTTGCCACTCTCACGTAGACATCCCGCCGTAGATTAAAACCCTCTGCTGGATCAACATCGTGGATGAGGTACCTTTTGTCCAATTTCGTTTCATTTAGAGCAACTTGGAAGGAATCTACGTTGAGACCATGTTGGCTAGAAGTATCAAATGCTACAGATTCATCATCTACATCTTTGCTAACAACAACTGAAGCAATAGTTATGGGTGCAATGAAGAAAGCAAGGACCTTCCACCCAGCCGACATGTTGATATTATCGCGGGAAAATAATGACTGAACGACTTACATAACCTTTTTAAAATGTGATTGGATTGCCAAAAAATAGTCTTTCATTGTTATCATCAAAGAAAACCAATGATTGGTCAACACGAATTAATGGCATTCTGAAAAGGATTGTTTCCAGAGACAATACAATCCCACCGAAAAAAAATTGTACCTTGCACAGACGTTTTTTCTTTCCTTTTTTCTGACGAATTTTGTCAGCGGCGTGCGAGAATTTTCCTAATGTAGCTGTCAATCTCAAAAATATATATATATTTTATTGATAACATACTAACTATTAAAATCCTATTTACAATTAATTCAGTTAAAAAAAAAACTATTTCGTAAAAGCACTATTAACAATTCCTTTCGTTAAAAAAAACCACTTAGTTTTGATTAGAAAAATACGTCTTAAACACACGAACGACATTTCAGACTAGCGCAGGACGGTCTGCAAAGAGAAAGTGGAAGGGGTGTAAATAGAGTAGCGCTTATATCTACGTTTTATCTGGATTCTGTTTCCTCTACACCACAGCCTCAGTCCTAAAATAGCCTGCGAGCAAGCTAAATCCAAGGCTACGCGATTAATAACCTTTGTTCTGCAGGCTAAAAAATTAAAATATCACTGAAGCAGGATCATGGGCTCCTGTTCAGAAGGTGTGCCCCAAATATTCTTCAAAATGCTGGGTCGAGCAAACCTAAACAACATTAAACCACCATCAGAAATCTCGTTTCTGCCACTATTTAATGACACAATGGGTTTTAGCGGGAATGTCGTCGTAGTGGCGGGAACAAGTTATCAAATGAAACAAGTTTTAGCATTTTGCTATCGGGAGAGGGCTTAACTTCCTTCACTATAAATAAAAGTACTAGCTTTTTGGTGAAAAAAGTAAAATAAAGCTTTCCAATACGTCTCTTTTTTAGAACACCCGCCAAAACCTCAATTTAGATCCCGTACTCACTATTTTTACGTCTCCTACTGGAGACACGACCGACGTTTTACCGGTCCTCCGAGCATGAAAACACGCCCTGTTTTATAACATTTTTTCTCAGCCAAAAAGCTAAAAATCTTCAATGTTTACTCAAGCTTGGGCTTATAGAAGATAACGTCACAGTTTTTCAATGACCACGAAATTCAGAGTCCGGGTAGTTAGTTAATCAATTGTGGCCCTGAAAAAATTTGAAGGAAAAAAAACTACGAATTTTTAAGAAAATGCTTTTTTCGTGAGAGGGACTCTTAAACGCTGACAAACGTCAACAAATAGCGAAAACTAAAATTTCTATATGTTTGCTTTGCTCGAAATCGCGCGCATTTACAAGGCCCTAAAGCTTTTTGCTGACTTGCAATGACCCATCTGTTATGACGATGCCCAAAATAAAGGGATAAGTCTCATAGTTTATTAGATATAATCGTGTAAATTTTGCTTATCATTTTCGCATAAACTATGACCTAAATTTGGAAACCGCTGAATTTCTCGAATTGGGTCTTTGCGATTTTGGTGAAACTCTGTTCAGCGCAAGGCACTAATACGCACTATGTGTAGCCGAGAGATTTTCACGAAAACATGCCGGCAACAGCAGATTTTCGACTCAGACCTCAAAGGGGCGTGGCATTATAACCACGCGACATTTACTCCGATCGCCAAAACTTTTATGTTATATTGTAGATTGATCTATATGTTATCCATTCTATGTGTTAGACTTACGATAAAAGTAAAGGTGGGGATACCAGAGAGCTTCAAAGTAGGATGGTACCTCCCAAAAAAAAACTGGGTCGAGTCACCTTAAATCTTTTCTTATGGTTTAGAATAAACTATTCTCGAAACTGAGAATGCTTTGATCAAAGCTGTGTAAATCGAGCTGAACTGTGCATGCTATGGAACCTTGCGTTTCCTGTATTGTATGGAATATGTGTGAAAATCTTCATTATGAATGATATTTCAAAGAGCTACACAACCAGCAAGAATACTATTGACCGACTATAGAGAACGGGGGCAGCTGTAGTGTCAACTATTTAACAATAAAGAGTTTAAGATGCCTGGACAGCTGACCTAGTGGACGATAACATTGAGCGCGAAGGACTGGGTCGATGACGACTACCTTGGCGGGAAACTTTTCACGTTAAAGAGCAGATTTCAAGTTGAGGACGACAACGTTTTGTTCATCATGGCATCTTTAAGAAAGACTCGTGAAATGATTGTTATTGCTTACGCGGAAGGGCTATTAACGGATGAAGAGTTTATGTTTCTTTATGAGACAAATCAACCAGTTAATTTAGAGTTGCCTTACTACGAGTATGAGGAATTTAACTTTGACGAAAACATCAGTGAAGCCGAATGTAAAGCGGAGTTTAGGTTTGAAAGAGGAGATATCGAACGTCTCGCTGATGTTCTTCAATTACCGCCCACCTTTACGAGTCCACAAGGCAGTGTTTGCGACCGAATAGAGGGCCTTTGCATACTTCTTCGTCGCGTCGCATATCCATGTCGTTACAGTGACATGGTCAGCAGATTTGCAAAACCAGTTCCTGTTTTGTGTATGGTATCGAACATAGTGCTCAACTATATCTTCGATCTGCATCATCACAGAATCACAACCTGGAATAATTATATCCTGAATCCATTTGCTATCCAACAATACTCTGATGCTGTGTCTGACAAGGGTGCTGCCCTTAACAACTGTTTTGGGTTTGTAGACGGAACTGTCCGCCCGATTTGCAGGCCGGGGGAACACCAACGGCTTGTTTATAACGGGCACAAGAGGGTACATGCTCTTAAATTTCAGGCTGTTGCTCTTCCTAATGGGGTTATTGGACATTTGTTCGGTCCTGTGGGTAAGTCTAGTTATTCCTACAGTCTCTTTTGTTTTTGGTTTTAAGTCACCAGTTTTGGCTTAGAAAAATTTATCAGTTGAACAATTGGTTTTTCAGAGGGAAAGAATCATGATGCTGCCATGTTGGCCGACTCTAATTTTCTCACCGCTTTGGAGCACAACGCTGTATCCCCAACTGGCCAACAGATGTGCATATACGGAGACCTGGCCTATCCTTTAAGGGTAAATCTCATGGCACCGTTCAGAGGGGCCGCCCTGACAGCGCAAATGTAAGCCTTCAATGATTCTATGTCGAATGTGCGTACGTCAGTCGAGTGGTTGTTTGGAGACATGTGGAGTATTTCAAGTTTATGGACTTTAAAAAAAACCTTAAAATAGGTCTAAGCTCGATCGGAAAATTGTATGTCGTGTGTGCCCTGTTAAGAAATGCGTTAACTTGCCTTTACGGAAATTCAACTTCAAGTTTTTTCGAGCTGGATCCTCCCACACTGGAGGAATACTTCTCTTGAACAATTTTAAGTCATCTTTCCACAAACTGCTGACCAAAAATTGAGCTCTGAAATCAGTTAAAGGTAGTTAAACAACGTTTCGATAATTCATCGACTTTTTTCGAAGATAAAGGAATCAAACACTTTATTAACAGTCAAATATTATTCAAGCACAATTTTAATAGAAGAAACAAAGCTGCCGAGATAACAAGATAAAGGCTGTAATTACACTCACTGTTACTAGAAAGGCTCAGTAGTCCGACCTCAGTGTTTACCAATTTAATAGATAAACACAAATTAACATAGCTGTACCGAGCTATTTTGAAAGACAATTACAGTCATTGTAAAAGTCACTTGTTTACCAGTTTCGACAGTAGCTCCATCATATTTTGTTGTTGCTGCTGCATCAATTGCATCATCTCCCTTTGCTGCTCAAACGATCGGGCTGTCTCCTTTTCTTTAAGCTCTCTCTTTTCTTTAAACTCCCTCTTCCTGACTTCAAGCTCTAGTTGAGATTTTTCTCTGAGAAACTCAATGGAATCATTGCCTCCTCTTCTCTTTTTCTTCTTAGGTTCCATGGGAGCTTCATCTCCGGCAATTCTTGATTTGGTCTGACCATAGCTCCCCATCGCTTTTTTTCGAATTTCTTGTGCTTTGTGCTTATTTTCTTCTCCTTTGGCTTGCTTGGATTCTTTCTCTTCAACCGGGAAAGATTCTTCCAAAGAGCAAATTTCTTCTTGGGCTTGTTCGAGCTCCGAAGTGGGTTCCACGTCAATCCCCGACGAATTTTCCTCCTCTCGAATTTTACGCTTAAACTTTTCCTTGATCAATTTGAATCGCTCTCTTACAGATCGCTTCTTTACACGGAATTTGGCGGTCTCACAGGTATTAAGGTGATTCGAAATTTCTTCCCAAATTTTGCCTCTTTCGACCGTTCTTTCTTTGAATTTGTATGGCTGACAGACGAGTATTTCCCGGCAGAGAAGGAGATCGTGCTCTTCCTTCCATTCCATGCTCGCTAATCCTGTAAATAAAGAGAAGGCACATAAAACAATTTCTCTGATTTCTCGCTCCTAAACTGACCAAGGGAAAAGCATTTGGACCGTCTAGATTAAAGTTTAATACAAGATAAGACATCTTTCATTCAGAGGATAAGCGGGTTCAAGTGCTAGGGACTTTCTTTTAGTAAAGCAAGAAAATTTAACGCACGTGTTCAGTCGAAATGCTCCACCGTAACTGTGCACAGTGCACATCACTTTTACAATTTTAACAAGCTTGTTTACAACTCCCGTGTATTCGCGTAGAAGAAGCCGTTTCTTGAACTCAGCGTTTTCTAAGAAGAAAATTTTGGCTCAAAAATCGAAGTTTATTTATTACAAACAAATTTAAAAGGAAATGTTTGCAGAAATTCTACGTTTCAAGTAAAAAGGAAAAAGAATGATACAGGAAGACAACGTCTTACCTCGACCAACAGAGCCGCCATTTTTGTCAGCACTTCATGGGAAGAACGACACAACAAACCCTTTTGGCGATAAACTTGGCGAGTCAACAGAAAACAACACAGCTCTACTTTTCTTCTCAGGTAAGGAAACAGTTCAAACTTTTAGCGGTTCCATTTAAGCCATTACGCTGTTGTTTGCGAAATGATAAACTTGTGAATTGCCAT